ATACTGTCCCCCTATCGTACGATGAGCGCCATATTCTCGGTCCAGTCTGTTGGCCGATTACAACGAACATGGTCCAACAATGTTCACGAGCCGCGCCGGAGTCGATACCCGCTCGCGAGAGTTTGCGAGTTGCTCTACCACGTTATTCGGTGACATTTCGAGTGGCCTTCGCTGTTGCACATGTAGGAGATGCAAACAAAAGCTACACACGCATGTCAATGAGCCCGCTGCATGGCATTGAGCGGCGCCAGCGAGAGTTCCGTAAAGAAGAACGAGTCGGAGAATATTCACTTTTCCGACAATGACTAGTTTACAACATTCCTCTGCTATTGGGTTCGCGTTCCGATCAGCGAATCACACATCGCCTGTTTGCATGACCGGCGTAGAATTCTCCCGCCTGTCCGTCAGGCGAGAAACCACTCATCAATCAGCGTACGAACTGTCGAGGTCTCGATGAGTTCATCTGACGAGTGGCTGTCCAGGGATTACCCTCTGAAAAACTAATGATAGGATAAAGTGTTCTTCAGAACAACCTGAGCTTCGACGATTTGAAATTCCGTTCCTCGGCTCCGCCAACGGAGCTTCTTTTCGTCGCCGTCATTGTTGTTGCTGTCCGCGCTCCGGTAGTATCTCCGTCGGAACATCGGCGTCGTCGCGAGGCTCGTCTTCTGAGCGAGTGAAAAAATTCGGCAGGAAAAATACCTGGGAGAAGCAGCACCGTTCGCGTGACCAGGGGGTGCGGTCCAGGGGGTGTTGAAGTGGCTAGCAAGCTGAGTGACTGACTGACGGACGGACTGACTTTACATTCATAACACCAAGAGCAGGGGCGGCTGAATCAGCAGCGGTATCGACAACGAGTCCTGAAGAGGAGAAGAGAAAGTACGGGCCTCTCAGACAAAGCCGAACTGACGAACGGATCTTGAAACGGAGACCAGCATTCTCCGGGGGTAACGAACGTTAACGATGGCGGAGGCGCACCTGTAGCTGCACACTGCTGGATATTCGTGTATTCATTGACGATAGTGTACGCATAATGGGCGAATCCGAAAGCACGCCGAGCCAAAGAGATGAGAAAAGCGCCCGACCGAAATTTCCCCAAAAAATATCCAGTCAGCCTGAGGGCACTGAAAAGTCAAGGCGGCCGACGACGGCGAGACGAAGGCCCTCTCCGCACATACGTACATATCGTGCCGCCGGCCAGCCGATAGACGGAAAATAGATCGGACAATTTTCTGATATTCGGTAGCGGGAGCTTCAGCGCCACGCAACCCGCTAAACCGATTCTATAAAACCGAGAAAAGCAGCTCTATACGACTCACTAATTATACGCTGTCCTTAGTGTCATTTATCTATCCATCCTGATAAACAGCTCTGAGCCGTTCGTTCACCAGGGCCTGAAAATACGCTGGAGGAAATCTCCCGGAATGTCAAAGCGAACGACTAAATAATTGCCAAACAAATCCCTCCAGCTGATCCGGGCTCTTGGATTTATGGCTGACGAGCGAAGTAATTAATTCGAGGTTTTCGTTTTGAAAAATACTGAATTGGGTGCAGTACTTCCGATGATGGGCTATCGCGTTGGCTCGACCGGCTCATACGAGCTCATCTACACCGCTTGAGCTCCCACTGCCAAAATCACAGGAGGATTCGGCTACCAAGCCGAGTACTCCAATGAAGACATTAAGTACGTATGCACGGGGCTCATAGGTCCTCGTCCCTCCGGGGTGAAACTCGTCGCGAATTATTTCTCCCTTCTCCCTTTGACTTGGAGAGAATCAGGTCGAATCTCTTGCGACGAGGACGACCAACGGAAAAAATCGCGAAATCCGGCGTCGAATCAAGAGTCAGTAGAGGATCGGAAAATACGACGCCATGTTCGAAAATACGCTTGACGTCGGCGGACAGCAGCAGCTACAGCGGTAATACAAGGGAGACAGACGAGCAGAGCGCGCGCGTCAATGCAAGACGATCGCCGAAGAGCGTCGGTAACCTTGGCATTCCATTCCGGAATTCCGCGACCGCGTTGAAGACGACGTCGACGAGGGAAAACGGTGGAACCGAAAAGGAGAAGAGGCGCCCATTACCCGAATAGATTGCTAACTATTATAGATCAAGCCAGTGAGCCGAAGATGGTCGCTACGATAGATCCAACGCCGCACTATAGATAGCTGATACCGCTATCGCGGTTGACGCCGCCGATGGCGACTTCAGCGATGATTATCTTCGGTCAGTCAGAGCAGAAGGAACTCCGACAGGTCTCGCGGTACTGTTCTCGAAGCAACCACGCCCTAGATTAAGACAAATGATTGTCGTCGGAACCCTCAGCAGCGATAGAGCTATTAATACGAGGAATGTCCACCTCTGTCAGAGCGGGAATCCACTCGACGCGTGGAGCGAGCGTTTGCCCGACAACGTCGGGGACTCGTCGTCTCGATGCCGCTTGTGGATGCTGAATAAAAATCTGTTGCTCCAGAAGAAACCGGCGAAAACATCGCCCGCCGTACTGAAGAATCTGCTGTCGCGGCTGCCGAGCCGCTCAGGAATTTTCGAACCGCGAAATCCGATGGAATTCCCGAGAACTCCGTCACACGCCTTTGTTCCGACTCTTTCAGAACATGTGGTGCTAAAATGGAAAACTTCGCTGACTTCCGTGAGAGACGAGATCTGAATGGATACAAGTCGAGCATTTCCCCAAGCGACGCGGGAAGGGGCAAATAGCGGAAGGCTCATGCGTAAACCGTTCGAATTCAGCATATTCAATTTGGGAATAATCCAATCACCAGCCGTCGTTCTCGCCGAGTTCGTTTCGTCCCATCCCGGTCAGCGAGCTCTTGCGTCAACCACTAATCCAGGCGATATATTTCATATGGACGCTTGTCGTTTCTAGAAATCGCAGCGGAGCCTATCGCCCCGGGAGTCTCTCCGTTTCTCGGGTACAGTACGTGGGAGCAGAACTGCGCGAAAGATCGATTCTACGCATATATGTACAGAGCCTAGGCGTGTAGGCTGGACGCATCCCCAACAAGTGTCATCGAGAACATGTAATTCGAGTCGATGGCGAGAACCGCTCAGCTGTGCGTTTTCGGACCGACCTTCGATTCCATTTTGATCGCCACCTACGGCGTGGATAACGTAAATTACAGATACTGAGTTGTCCGCTTTGGATGCACCGAAGCTGAAGTGACCGCGACCTTCTGTGACTGCAGGCTTCATTCTTCCTGATCGCTTCTCCGACGGCTTATTCATGAAGTATTACGTTCACCCGCGCTCATCTCCTTTCAAATTCTTCGTCATCGGTTCGGACGTTGCGTTTTCCATCTGACAATTAGTCTGAAGCTGACAGAGCCCCGATCGATCGAACGCTCTCGAGTCTAGCGCCCCGGGCTCGTATTGTCCCGACATCGGGGAATTCGCGCACGTCTCGGTCGCGGGTGGCTCTCGGGAGATGCTCTTACCACATGTTTGTCGGGCATCGCCGAACGAGAGAGAAGAGAAACACATGTTCCGATCCTCTCTGGCGATCGTATTTCGACAAGATGTCGACGACGACATTCTTCTGGGGCTTCGCGAGACACTGGTGAGCGGGACCCATTCAAGACAAATGGATCTACCGAAAATGAAATGCCAGCAAAGGAGCCACAAGACGGACGAAGTGGACGCCGACCGACTCGTTCTCGGTGTTACCGAAGTGATTATAATTCGTTCTTTCTGCTCTGCCTGCCTCCCCGCATCGACGATGGCCGCCTGCTTTGCGCTCTCGCTCGCTCGCTATTCTTGCGGAATGATACAGAAAATACCTCTGATAAAGATTAGCACTGGAGGCGTTCGGGGAATACCATCCGAGGATCGATCTCTCTCCCATGTATTTTCTCCGCTTCGTCTTCTGTACGGATATATTTCTCCATCCCTGCAATAACCTATAGGGTTGTTCATCCCCCAGAAGCCGCTAATTTTGACGTGGCGTGCTTGTCCTCCATCACAAAGGGCCCCGAGCGTCCCACCGCCGGGGACGAATTTTTCCTAGAACCTCCTTCCTTGACCAAGCCCCGAACATTCGAACGCGGAGCGAGCTCTACTTTCAATTCGACGGTCTATAACATCTATGGACGTCCGATTAAAGGACAAGAGCCTCGGTACTTTTCATTGTTGGATTCGCTATGATTTTTTTTCGTTACGAAGTTTTTTCCTCGTGAAGTGGCCGACCCACGAGCTCCGTGTCGTAACGTTATGCTTGGAGAAACCGCGGCAACTTCTATGGGCGGCTGGCTGCCTTCGCGAAGGCATCGGCGAAAGTCAATCCACGCGGAAAGCGAAGCTGTTGAGGATTTTCCGTTTTTCACTGATTGGAAGCAGCCAGCTGGGGAGCAAAAAAAAACCCATCCAAATCCAAGAGGAATATTTCCAAAAGAAATATCCCCACTCGTAGTGACACCTTCTCTGTCGCGACGTTTCAAACCGTAACCCGCGTCGGTTCGGACTTTGAGCTGCGAATCGCGCGTTGTGGAGGAGCGAATGGCTAGTAGGTAGTAGATAACAAAATATTCATCGTTAAGAGGGAAAAAAACTTCTCGTGGCCGAAAAGTGGTCGAATTGAGTTCTCTTGTTTGCCCTGATCGACCCAACGGACCCGTGAATGCTCAACAATTTTCTCTCCCCTCGTCATTGGGCAATCCAATCCTGATGATCGGATGATCGTTCCTCGGCTTTTCGTGATCCAATAGTCTTCTTTCGTCTCCCATCGTCCGTTCCGCACCACCATCATTGTACAATATTTATCGTTGCGATTATTATCAATATAAGTTTATTTTGATCGATGTTCTCGCGTGAGGATTCATCTGAATTATATTATTCCGATCTGCTGCTCGATCGCTTGAGTGACTCGCACAACGGTGAAAAGTTCCGTTGTTTTCCTTCCGTCTGGGAAGGGATCTCGCAGTTCTTACGGATACGATTTCCATTGAAGATGTGCTCGCAATCATCTATTTTCCTCTCCTTTGCAGGTCGAAGAATGGGGCGAAACCTCCGTTCGGTGTTCACCCGATGTGATGCTCCTTTGCCTCTGGGTCGGAAGTACGTCGCGGTCAAACTGTTGACCAACCAGACCCTCTACTTCGCTGTGGAGGTAAGTCCATCTGGGAGTTGCACAACTGTCACGCTCGTCGTGTACGGACATATGAATACACCATCATGATCATTTTTGCAGTGATTCGATACCATGCATACATACAATTTCGAAGCTTGGATACGAATCGCTGAAATCGATGGGAAGTCTTGACCGGCGTTGCGCAGAGCTTGTCTCGCGCAGTTCGGTTGCTTCCTGTTCATGAAATATTTGTTTTCTCCATTTGCAGTTGAAGTGCACCGTACAAGAAATCTTCGACCAGCTATGTTTCTATCTCGGAGTGGTCGATTCACAACTTTTCGGCTTAGCACGGCAGAGTCCCGATACAGCAGAGTTCTGCTTCGTCGACCAAGGGTCAAGGTTGGACAGATTGGCGCCAAAAAGCTGGAAAAATCAGACGTCCGCCGGACTAGACGGCCACGGCCGTCCGCTGATCACCCTGCATCTCCGAGTGCAGTACTACGTAGACTGCATGATATTCTGGCAAGACCGGGTCGCTTGTCACCACTATTACAACCAAGTCAAAGCAAACCTACTCAACTATGACTGGGCCATAAGCCAGGAGAAGGCGTTCATGCTCGCGTCCTTAGCCCTGCAAGCCGACCTCGGGAACTACGATCCTGTGAAGCATCGCGGGAGATATTTCGACCCGAGCCGATACTTTCCGTTGAGCATTGTTCACACTGTTGGCGAGGCGTTCATCGTGAGCAACTTGCCGTTGATGCATCGAGATCACCACAATTTGAACCGCACGTCGGCACAACTGGCATTCATCAAGGAGTCACAGGAGTTCGCTATGCACATTTACAAAGTTCAGCAGAAGAAATCCAATTACGACTTCACTCTTCTCGGTATCTCGTCGAGCGGGATCCAGGTCTATCAGCCGATCGCGACGCCGGTCCTCGCAAAATCAAGTTGCAATATCGTTATCACGAAACAATGCCTGTTCCCGTGGTCGGAGATATCGAAGCTCAAGTTCGACAAGAGACGCTTCGAGGTACGGCTCGAAGGAAGGTGCCGTCAGCTGCTCGAGTTCGTTTACGTATGCAGTTCGGAGAGCAAGGCTAGCTCTTTGCTGGATCTCTGCAAGAAAACTCATCAATTCAATCTGGCGATCCAGCCCCGTATCACCGAGTTGCGCAAGATCGAAAGAAGGAACAAGGTTGCTAAATACCGCGAGTCGTACATCTACGATCCCGATGAGGCTTCGTGCGGACAGCAAACTCCAACCAAGTCGATTCTGAACAAGTCGATCAGCAGCGGTAGTTCACCTGCACTGAGCGGGAGCGATCCCCGGATCTCTGTCATCAGCACCAGTTCATCGAATACGACCTCTGGGGTTATGTCCGACAAGCCTCAATCACCCGAGAGCGAGGACGAGACGGATTCGCGTGCTCCGGTCGGCTTATCGTTGGAAAGTCTACCGAATTCGCATACGCGCAAAGAAACCGGAGGTTGCTCTGATTACGGAACATTGGAGAACCTGAATAAGAAAGCTCTTTCCGAGCACAATCTCAGCTGCCACAATAAGCTCCACTCGAAGGACGTAAGCGGTCACATGGAGTCCTACGTTATGAATGGTTACAACGATTGTCTCTCGTCGTCGGACGCTCTCAAATACCTGAAGGCTGTGCCCGAGACGGCCTCACTGGACAAAGCCATCAGCCTCGATAACATCGCGTTGGCAAACGCTTCCCTCTATCACTCGAAGCCCCAGAGTGAGTTTTTTTTTTAACTGGAAGAAAACACGGGAAAATCCGGATGCATCCGCTTGCATGTTTTCCCCCGGGATACGTTTGAAACGTTTGACAATAATTAAAAATGTTCATTTTTCGCATCACAGCAGATCTAAGGATAGCGGTATCGTACGTGGACGCTATGCGAGCTACCTCCGAGGAGTATCTTTCGGGAGACAGTCGTCGACCTCAGAAAGCGACGCCGCTTTATCAGAAAAATAAAGCGCAACTCCGAGCAGCGCCTCAACCGGCTACTCGCAGTACCTCGTTCGCTGGTCATCAGAAGCCCCGGCCTCCGCCCATCAAGCCGAGGACGAAGATCGGGATATCGTCTCTGAGCAAGAACCCCGATCAAAAAGTTGTATCCGAGCCGGAAATGTTGCACGTGAGTTTCAGACGATAATGCTCAGTCATGGTGCTCCCCGGCTGATGTTCGTAGCCATCATTGGACTTGGTTGGGATTATATCGAAATGTGCGAAGCGTAACCGAACATTAATCCCGAATCCCTTAAAATTTACAGCATTTGACGAAGTCTCAGCCGGACCTTCTGTCAAGACTGTCAGCATCGGCGGCGAGCAGCGATTCATTGGGCTCATCTGATGTCTTAGATGAAGTCCGAATGAAGTCTTCTCAACATAATTTGCCATTCATGAGCGCGCTCTGTCAGGACCGGTCCTTGATGCCCAAGACCGTTCCCAACATTCGGCCCAATCCCACCACCTCGGCCAATGATGCGAGAAGGTAGAATCCGAGTCGATTAGGAGAAATAACATTTCTTAATTCCATTTACTACGCGTACATATTTCGAAAAGAAGCGCACCCCCTCTAGCGATGTTCGATACATTGGCGAGCGGTTATCACGAGTTTCATAGAACCGCCGCGGCGGTCTCTCGGAGGTGTCTCCGATCCGGAAAACTCACCTCGCGAGATTCTCGATGTAGTCGTGATTCTCTCCACTGGTCTGTCACGTCATGAGCGAATGTCTCTCACATTCAAGACCGCCATGATGCGCTTCTTCCCCGTTTGGGAACCTTGGCGGGGACTCGGGCCTCATTCGATTTTTCCCTTGCAGATTCAGCTATTGTTCTTATCTCCTGGCCGAGTCTGCGTCTTCTTCGCCGATCGTGTCTGGAGGACTCTTCAAGTACACCTCGTTAGGAAACGTCGCACCGATTCCACATCCGCCGACGCCACCTCGGCAAATGATTCCCCACAAACTGTCACAGGAAACCGGAACGATCTCGCAGCAGCGGAAGACTGTTGTGTTCTGAGATCGTCTCGATCGCTGGATCCGAGACCTCTCCGCGGTCCATTCATCGGAGCTGGAGTCGAAAACCGGCACTACGAAGTCACACTCCGCATCGGTGCAAATATTTCATCCGCGATGGGTGACTGACTCGAATTCATGTCGCGACGACTTGAACTTCAAAACTTAAACTACTTGAAGCAACTATGGTGCACGACCACTCGAGAACTCATCTTATTGTTAACGAAGCATCTTGTTAAGGCAGCTAATGAGCGTTCCGTGGTCGGTTATCCCGAAAACTTTTTATCTCAGCGGATGCATTCGCCAATACAGACTCAACTGAGCAGAAGGACGCTGAGTTCTATTACGGATATCATATCGGCATGCCCTCTTACTCGTACGAGACGCGTACGGCCTGGTGAAGAGGAGGCCGGTAGGATGATTTTTTTCCCTTTCCCCCTCCTTTCTTTCGGGAGTGACTGAAATCAAACCCTAATCGAATAAAAAACGAAGACCTTCTAGTCGCTTTCGGGCGGGTCATTAGAGCCCGTCCTCCAGCGGGCAGACTTACTTATATACATTGTGTACATAAAGAGGCAATTTTGAGTTCTTAGCGAGGCTCTCTTGTGAGCGGAAGGAAATATATACGGTACGACGGACTATCATGGTTCCACAGCGTTTCCCCGATCTGCCGATACTTAAGCTGTATATCAACGTGCTCAGTCGACCACCGTGTTGGAAACTCGAATACTGTATATTAAGTGCCAAATAAATATGTAGAGAGTTATTTAACAGTACATCTCGAGTCTTGCATCCATCTTCCCTCAGATGAAGGATTCTCCCGTCTAGAAAAAGCACGGCTCGATTCCGGGGGGCTCTCCAGATTCCCCGAGAGAGCATGAATCTGATCCATCTCAAGACACTTTCTGCTCATGCTTCATCATTTATTCCAGTTTATTGTTCTTGCGCGAGCGGATGCGTTCCAATCGGGAGAAGAGTTTCATTTCAACACGGGTCATTGGTTCTCGTGTTCGACGGTCTTCCTTAGAAATGAAAGACTCCACGATATCTGAATGGAAGTCGCTCACAGGGCTCAATATCAGATAACCGGCCGAGCTCTCTCTGTAATTACTGTTGTTTTGTACAAGTTTAACAGGTCCCTTAATGTAATCTCTCGACGATGCGGTGTGTACACAATGAAGTCTCAGGGAGAGGGGGGAGGGGGCATTTGGGCAATGGAGTCCCGTCGAGTCGCATAAAAGATCCGAAGTGAATTATTCCCTCGTCAAAATCGAATAAACGATCTTTGGGGAGACAGAAGAATACGGCAGAAGACTCACGACGAGACAGTAAAACATTCGCAGCCCATTTAATAAGTCGATATTGAATCGTATCAGAGCTCCCCAACAGTCTGGTGAACTTCACGCGCTTTGCTCGGATCTCAGATCTTCTCCGTGATGAAAACATGCTGGAGAGCTTGGTTTATCGTGAGTCTCTTCTGTGGATCGATGGCGAGAATCTTGTCCAAGAGATCCCGGAGCTGTTGAACCTACACAGGACGAGAATTTCGGTGTGAATAAAGTGTGCCGATCGTGAATAGAACCGGAGCTTCGAGGCCGTCAAAGAAATGCAACGCTCACCTTATTCAGCTGAGCCGCAGGAAGATTGGCGCCGAATAGCTCCGTTCCCAAATCACGCGTAGGATTTATGTTCTTCATTTCGATTACTTTTTCCTGCGAAATTAATGGGGAATCAATTATCGATCAGTCGCTAAAATCATAGTTATGATCATAAGTAATGACGAACAGTGAAGCTCAGCAAGCCCATTTGGCACGTACCCTCTCAGTGACTTTATCGACTTCGTAGTACATGAAGTTCATGTCGAAACTGAAATGCTTGTTCCGAAGGATCTCGGGTATCTTCTTAACGAGTTTGTTGGGGAACCGACCCTTGAGCTCCATGAACAGTTTCAACATTTCGTTATTGGTTTTGCCTTGGAACATTATCCGCCCAGTGTAAAGCTCGTACAGAGTGCACGCAACTGACCAGAGATCGATGCCGAATTCATGGCCTATGCCCATGATAATCTCGGGGGCACGATAGAATCGCGACACGAGGTAGGGCGAAATTTCCGAGTCGGACGCGAAGGACGCGGAGCCGAAATCACAGAGTTTCAGCTGTAGCTTGTTCTCGTTGACGAGAATATTGTCGGGTTTAATATCGGCATGTAGGATGTTACATTTCTTGAGGAGACGCAGCGCCAGGAAGAGTTGATGTGCGTATGACCGGACGGCCTTGATGTGGAGACCCACATCCTTACCGTACTTCTTGAGGATCTGCAAAGGAGTCGCCGTGAGTTCTGAGTCTATCGTTGCGACAACCATTTCCCCTTTTGGGGGGAATTCGGCCAATCACTCGAACTGACCTCTCTGAGATTCATGCTCAGTGACTCGAACACGAGACAGAGGTGTTGACGATGCGAGAAATGACGATGCAGTCGCAGACAGTGGTACTTATCGTCCGGATCGGCATCGTTCAGCTTTCTCAGGATTTCTAGTTCTTTTTGACCGGATTTCAGCGTGACGTCGTTATTACGTATGATTTTGATGGCGACCTCGGCGTTCGCTCGAGCTTTGTCTCGAGCTCTAACCACACTCGAGAACATGCCTGGAGGAATTCTGAGAGTCAATTTTCCGCACGATCAGAGCCGCAAGAGAGAGTTCCGAGCCTGTGAGCGAACTGACCTTGTCCGGTGTATCCATATACTTCATACCTCTGGTCGAGGACCTCGCTGATCCGAACTTTGTAGTAGCCTTCGGCATCGTCCCAATTGTCGTTGAGGGCTGGATTCTCATGGATGAGACTTCTGGACAAAGATCGGGATTTAGGCGAGGATGCATTGTAATTTTCAGAGAACATATCGTTCTCTTCGTCTTTCTGACCGTTCAAGTTATTTCCTTCGGCGACTGGCGAGTCTTCTCCAGGCCCACCGCCCAACTGTAAGCGAATGAAGATTTCATTATAAGTTCTCCTGGAAATCGACAGTCCCTCTCAGGCCATGGCTTCCGATCTCTAGGACTCTGGGATCTGGGCGAAGTTCAAACCTTGCTGAAGGTGGTGTCACCGTCAGAATCCAGAATGACAGGCTGGGGACTCGCACTGCGTCTTTCTTGACTCCGGAGACCGTCTTGGGTAGAAGTACCGGGTGAGCTGAAGCTGTGAGCCTCGGGAGGCTCGACCTTCCGGTCAGATGTCGACGATGTTTTACCGAGTCTCGCCAACAGCTCCTGTCGCTGTTTTCTGGATCTCTCGATGAGCTCCTCTTCGTCCAGATCCTCGTCCTCGTCCTTTATCTCGATCTCCTCGTTGTCGCTGTTGTCCGAGGAGGAATCCCTTGCGAGTCTGCGGTTGCGTCGCTTCGAGCCGTTGTTGTGATGATCGTCAGCTTCTCGGCTCCGACTGCGGCGCTCGTTCCGCCGACTTTGTCTCTCGTTGTCCCCACCCCGGCGGATCTCTCGGTCTCTTCGACTATCTGAGCTTCGGTTGTCGCCTCTACGGAGCCTGTCGTCGTCTCGCCGACGGTGATCCTGGAGGATAAATATAGTTGTTGTATGATACCGTATAATGACATAATAATATTATTATCCTCAAAATTTTTGATAACCATGATGACAGTGCTTGATTGATAAATTGTGGTGATCAGCTTCAGACGAATATCGCTGTAGGATCATTGTCATTCTATAACGCTCATCTTCCTCACCCGGTGTCGATCGTTTTCCCGATCCCGATGTAACTGTTTCATCCGATTTCGCTCCTTCTCGCGTTCTCGTTGCTTCTCGCGCTCTTTTTCTCGCTCACGTTCTCTTTCTCTCTCGCGCTCGCGCTCCCTTTCCCGCTGTTCTTTTTCCCGCTCTCGCTGTTCCTTCTCGCGCTCTCTTTCCCGTTCTTTCTCGCGTTCCCGCTCACGCTCCTTCTCGCGCTCCCTCTCTCTTTCGCGAGACCTCATCTCGAGTTTTTCCTTTTCACGTTGTTGGTGCTTTTCTCGCTTCCTCGCTTCCTTGCGTCGATCGGCATCCTCGTCTCTGTCGCGTTTCTATGGAGAAGAATTCAGAATCAGAACTCGAATAACCGAATGACATGTTTTAGGCCCAGTCTCCGTTGGGGAGAAATCGGGTCGCATGTCCCCGGGGATACCACTAGAAAGCAGCCCGAAAAGCCGTCAGAGAGACGACCATTGGAGGGGGACATCGACCGATGGTCCCGAATGGAGCTCAGAAGGGGGGGTAGAAGATCATTCGAAGGTCTTCGTCGGCGATTTGTCCTATTGAGACTCGAAAACCGAACAACATACCGTTTCAGAGCGATGACTATCGGAGGACTTTGTATGAGTTTCCTTTGAGCTCGCTCCGTTCTTCGAGCTCGTGTTGTCGGCGAACTCGTCGCTGCCGTTGCTGTGATTTGTTTTCACGCTCTAGAATCGAACGAAATCCTTAGTATTTTTCAGTATTTATCATTCTAGTTTTTTAATTTTCAGTATTTTCCTCTTCGAATTTCAAGCCTGCTGATGCTCAATCGGAACCGGGAGTAGAGAGTTCCAGGGAACGTACCAGGCCTCCGTCGTCGGATTTCGTGACCACGAGTCTCCGGGTTGTATCGCTTGCGGGTTTTCCGTCTTCCCCTTCGACCATTTGGAGCGACTTCAAGAGCTCGAGTTTCTTCCTTTCGAGCTCCTCGAGCTCGAGATCCTGAATGTTGGGGTCTTTCTCCTCATCCTTGAATGAGAGCTCCCGAGATTGGAAAACGTCCTCGACTCTCCTTCTGCCGAGCATGATGCAATTCGATTTTCAATGATAAATATTCCGATGTGATTCGGGTCACTCACCTTGGGCTCTTTGTGGCGCCTATGCTTTTTATGCTTCTTCGACTTCTGATCCTTGTGCTTATGATGCTTCTTGTGTTTACGGCCTGCGGTTCTTTCTTCATCTTTGATCGAATCTGTCTCGGAGCTGCGAACAAAAAGGGGTATCTAAGTAAGTCCGAGGCCTATCAGCGTCGGGTTCGAACAGAAGACTCCGCGCTGCCGCCTCTGTCCTCTCAAAGACTGCACTTTGCGGAACATCAGGCCCACGGATCTGAGGAACGGCAAGCATCCGCCGCGGAGGTGACTTGCCACGCCACTTCTGGTAACAATTAAAATGATATGAGCTCCCGAAGCGGAAAACGTGTTGATGTGCGCAGAGAACCTCCGACTTTTAGAGTCGAGAATGAAACAACAGCCGACCCGCCCTTCCATGGGGTCAACCAACTAACTAAGTGATTCAAGTGGACTCGACGGCTGAGCTGAGAATTTGAATCCAGGCCGGATTCGCGGAATCAACATTCCTCTGCATGGCAGATTTCGGTGTCTCCTTCTCGTTCTGCGCCATTCAGAAATATGATTTCCCCGAAAAGACTCAAACGGAGGATTTACGCAATTGTCGCGAAGCATCAATGTTAGGGGGGCGGTACTTCTCCTCCGTGAGTTCTACCCCTCATCGTTCGACCAGGAACATACTAGTACGCCCGATATTTGACACAAACACTCCCTCGGCTGTGGAGGAAGAAGCGAAGCGACGTCAACTGAGACAAACGTCTCTTATCGGGCGTGAAAGGTCCGGAATACGAGGACTCCCCGTGAATCTACACGACGCCCACCCAATCTCTGGAATCTGACTCCCAAAAGGCTCTCTCTCCAGTGTTGCAGCATCTCCATGAAATAAGTTGGATTGACTCTCGCCTCGGGATTTATGCATCCCTCAATTTTTTCCCATTCCGTCATCAGCCAGGCAGCTCAAGACTGAAGAGAGCCCTGGAGCCCCTCGGTGTACTCACCTCAAGTCCTGTGCTGCCGATCGGCCCTCTAAACTCATTGTGGGATTCTGTTACTTCGCTATTAACAACAGAACGAAATTCCGCCGATTGGAACCTTCGGTTTTCATCTGCTTGCCGGCGTCTAGATGTCCCCGACGATACCATCTGGCACCGGGAGGCCTTTAGCGAGTCTCGTCGTTCATTCTGTCACCGATCCCACGAGCATCGGACTCGGGGCCGACGAACGAAATCCGGCAGCCGGCACGAGTTTACCGATCAATCACCCATCACCGCGATTACTCCCTGGGAGACTTGGTCTCATTCGAACATTTTCCTCAGGGAAATATATTTAAAGACCTCCCGGTACGTGGATCGCTGCACCTCCTTTCCCTCTCAGTCAGAACACATAGGAGGGGAAGGCTCTGACTGGTGGTGTGTGATTGAGACTGGGGTGCTCTAGTGCAGGGAGTGCTTTACGGGAACGTCTACGACAGTCAGGAGTGCTTATGTGGGGCAATTCATCAGTGCAGGATCACGGACTATAAAACAGACACCATGGTTCAGGAAGGAAGGGAAGATCCCGTCACTCCCGTCCAGGGTTCCTCAGGAACCCACCCTGAACCCACAACTCAAATCAGCAGAATCCTCGAACGGGGGGTCAGGTACGTTCGACAGGACCGTCGAGTTTCTATAGAGCGCGCTTGAAAGACTACAGGAGTGTCCGGGAGTCTCTCGGAGTCTCGGGGATCGATACGGAAGTCCGGCTGGACGTGGAGCTCAGCTGGGGAGACGAATTCTGAGGGAGCACCGACGGACGGGGTCTTGTCAAAAAGCAACAGAATCCGAATCCCGACCTCGATATGAGAAGCGCCCGGCGTCCGGGACAACTCAATTTACCTAGTTCTAGTTTGCCCCCATTGTGTGCCTTATCGTGAGCTCATTGTTTGGTATCTCACGGATGCTCCATCGAACGCTTCAATATTTCCGCGTCCCGCGAATTTCAGCGCGAGAATGACGACGTCTGCGGTTTGCTTTTCTTGGATAAACTGTCGATTCCCATCTGGAGCGTGCAGGAGAACTCTCGGAAAATCTCCTGCAGCGCACAAAGTGGCTACAACTTACACGGAAAGACAGCGTGATTGATGTCTCTAGTTGAAGAGGGAGTGTCAAGCACGTTTGTTCTGTGACGTTGATTCATCGACGAGGAATTCGGGAGACCGCTCGCGAGCATTTGTCGCAGTCATTCGTGACTGTATACGAGTTTCAGGATACGAAATAGCAGCCCATTTTGAAAATCCCAACGAGACCGATCCGAGAGCTCGCTGGTCGAATCGACTACACTCCCAGTCGGAGCTCGAGAGCTCATGACGACCCATTGAGCTTCACGTAAATTTCAAGAATCGTAGGCGTCTCTGGGCATAATCAGACAATCGAGAGTCGCCATATGGATGGACTAGAAGTTTCCCCGAACATCCCCTCCGAGTCGCGAGTTTCGTTCTTTGTCGTCAAAAGTGGAGTCGAATCCGTGATTCCATGATCATGAAGCTGATGACGACGTTCCGTTCCGGCCGAAGTTTGTTTCTGTCTTCGAGTCGAATCGTCATTTGATGTTATACTTAATCCCGAGCGGATACTTTGGTCTCGTCGCTCTCGCTCTTTGGTGTCCCGACGAACCTGAATTGTCGGAATATCAACAAGAGTGTGATTCCCGGAGGAACGACTAGGTATATCGCGGAGTATTGGAAGTAGAACTCTTGGTTTGGCCGAGCTTCTACCTACCTTAATTCTACCTATCTGATTTTTGATATTCTCTTCGATGATCTGAGACCGTCAACGCTAAAGAGATGCTAAGGAAGCTATCGATTACCGCGACAAGTCGAAAAGAAGCGGAAGCGATGGAATTACAGAGAGCGGATGCTAGGCCGTCACTTCAATCGGAGTCCTGATAGCTCCTGATGCAATCGAGTTTCCATCGTCATAAATTCCCACCTCGGTTGGGTTTTCGTTTCTTGAAACGAACGATACCGGGGAGAGCTCCCTCTCTGAGGTTCGGATTCGTGTCTGGCCCAGAATTATCGAGCATACGTGTTTTCTGGTCCGGGGGCGAGCGGAAAACCCTTATTTCTTTGTGAAAGAAGTCGAGTGAGATGTACACTGCCAAAATCACGACGGAAGGACTCGGAAGCGGAGTCTTCTGGAGTCTGATCCCGAGTCATGAGCGAGCCGACGGGGAACGCTGTACAGCGAGCGAGGCGGGAGACAAATGAGCATCCAATCTAAATGAGATATTCTTCTTTCAGTCGAATCAAAGAAGAGGCCCAGGATTTTCTGCTATATAGTGGAGAGTCTCAAAAGAAGCTCGAAAAGAGACGGCAAGTCGTTTTCGCGCGGAGATTCGCCTTGAAAACGGATACCGATGCTCAGGAACGTCCGGAAGAGCTCACGAAACCACCATTCCTCAAGTTGACAGCGGACGGGTTCCAGACTTTGAAGAAGAAGACTCAAAATGTCCTCCGAAAGGATTCCGAAAGGGTCGAGGTTCGTGGGCGCATTGTTCGGGCAGTCCCGCGCGAAAAAGAATTCGAGGCTTCTCAGGCTTGATTTCCCCCTGACTACGTTCTGAAGCCCAATTGCAAGCTTACCCCCGATAATTTCCGCAGGCTCAAGCACTCGAATCCACTCGACAATCTTTGCTGCGTCGATCACAGAGCCACGAGATACCCATGGGCGTCGTGTCTGCCCCACCGGAACTGTCGCCGGAGGCGATCACGTTTCTAGCTATTAAACATCTCGGTCCGAGAAGTGAAGACGAGGTAAGGTCATCTTTTTGAAAGAATCGTAGTGCGGAGTTCGGCGTCTTGCGGTACATCCATCTTCAGGTAGTGAGCGTTGAATAACCAGTCGGGATTCCTTCAGTTCGGCAGCAGCTCCCATGTATGTACCGCTTCGATCTTGCGGAGAGTCGTGAATAAAACAGAGCGATGTTCAGAGTCTCAAGTTGCACAAATGACAGTCCCGCAGAATGTGATTCGACAGTCTATATTCGATGATAAGAAATGAGTGTTAAGAGACAAGCAAGCGAGCTAGCGAGATGTTGACGGAACGTGAGGTAAACCCTGTTTTCGTTTTCCTCGGTCAAACATAGAATAGAGTCGCTAATCCGACGCTTTTCGATTCCAGACCGACCTACCTTCGACAGATGTACATCCTGCCGGCAAGAAAATCATCTTCATGCGCGGGGTCGCGCCGGATAATATTCGGAAACAGAGACGCCAATTCAGCCTGAGCAATGGTTTGAAGAAAGCGTTCCAGTTAAATTACGTCACGCCCATAGAATATCGGCCCATTTTTACCTACTACGTGACCGTGACTCAATTGGTAAGTCGTCCGTATGATGTCCGCTGGAGTTCTGTCTGATTTTCTCTCCCTATACGAGCGGAGTGGGTAGGTATGCTTTTCAGTCGATCTTTCACATGGTGCGATCGCCGACCGTCGCTTTGCCTCTGAGCCTATATCTGTTTTCTCTTTACAGCTCATCTTACTATTCTCCCTGTGGATATACGGGTTCGCTCCTTGGGGTCTAAAGACGGAGCGTAGACAAGAACTAGTTATGGTGACTTCTTTGACACTAGAGAATGTTGATTACGAAGAGCGCCAGAACATATGGTTCGGTAATAGAGAGGCGGACTTGATTCATCTCGGAGCGAGATTCACGCCGTGCATGCGAGACGACCCCGGCATACGAGCAGAAATCGTACGGGACATCAAACGCGAACGAGACACGGCTTGCTGCGTGCGCCACGACAGGTCGGGTTGCGTGCAGACTCAGAAGGACCAATGTTCGGTATGTATCGGGATAGGCTGTGGTATTCGATGAGAGCGATTTCGAGAGAACATCATTCACGTATTCGCGCGGGATTTCCGGCGGGAAAACTATTCCATGCTGATTTTTCGCCTCGAAGCTCAACACGAGTCGTTCCGTTGAACTTATTTGCGACGTTTAGTCGATCTTCCCCGTGGGTTTCCCATCCTTGTTTTGTTGAGGGTTGTTGTATCCCGCCCGAGGTGGGAGGTTCCGATCCGTTCCGTGAATCCGTCTTTTTTGATTTCCCGTTGGGTCAAGGAGTTCTCGTGTGTTTATTTTCCGTTTCTTTCTTCTTCGCCTTCCTCTTTCCTGGTCTTTTTCGTTTCTCATTCCGGTCCGCTGTGTCTCTCGGTGGTGGTGGCGGCTATCGAATGTCTAAGATGTTAACTTTGGTCGTGGTTCGATTCCAAGCCTTCCTTTGAGGGATCCATGTCTTCCTCGGCCCCCTATGGGCTTCCGTCAACCTCAAATCGTCAAAAGGTGAGACTTGTGTCGTGTGTCGCAAGCTCTGCCCCGCATGATGTACGGTCAGGACGACCCTCCGCCTACACCCCTTCCCCGCTGTGATCCAGAAGTTCAATTTCAGCTCTGACTGGCGCCCTGTCGGTAGACCGGACGAGAGGGAAGACGAGAATTCTCCAGTGATCCAATCTCTTATCGGATTTCCGCTTTCCTTTCGCAGGAGAACCTTTCCACCTGGCACAAAATCATGCATCCCGGAGTGATGGTCGGCTCAGTCTGCGGTCAAGATCCGCGGTATTGCAACGAACCTCCATCGATCGAGCCGTATCGTTGGTCTGAAGACTTCACCAAGTGGCCAAAGTGTCGCAAGCAGCATGTGCCATCGACAGTCCGCAACGGAGATCTGGCCGATGAAAACGCACACATGGCGTGCCAGGTAGTGGGGCGCCCGTGTTGTATTGGCACGTACGGTCAATGCGAAATCACCACGCGAGAATATTGTGAATTTGTACAGGGAACTTTCCATGACGACGCTGCTCTATGCTCGCAAGTCTCTTGCCTGTCGGACGTCTGCGGCATGTTCCCCTTCGTGAGATCGCCAGAGAGTCCGGATCAAATTTACCGTTTGCTTACCTCGCTGTTCCTTCACGCGGGCCTACTCCATTTCGCGCTCACGGCCATCGTACAAATGTGGTTGATGCGTGATCTCGAACGCATATACGGACCTCATCGTATCGGTGCAATTTACATGATGTCCGGCATAGGGGGCAATTTAGCGTCTGCGATATTTGTGCCGTACAGGGCGGATGTCGGCCCATCGGCCGCTCTGTTCGGCATTATGGCGATCTTCATTGCCGAGCTTGTTAAACTTTGGGATAGGTTGTTGGACCGGAAACGCGCGACATTGCACGCGGTCCTTCCGATTTTGATAGGTATTGTTTGTGGCCTCACGCCGTGGACGGATAATTTCGGACATTTGTTCGGTCTGATCATCGGCTTCGTGTTGGCCATGGTCCCTCATAATTCCGAGAAGCAGAATGCTGACTTGGATGAAAGTCAGATGATCGAGTATCGGAGAAAGGCCCGTAGAAGATGGTGCTTGTGCGCAGCGTCTCTCGTTATTGTATTCGTCGGCCTTCTCGTTTGGTTCACGATTCTCCCCGATATCCAATGTACATTCTGTCATTATTTCACTTGTTTACCACAGATCTTCGGAGAAGCGTGTGAAACGCACTCAGTTAACTATAAGCCAAGAATCAAAATACACTTTTAAATATGTCCTCGCCCATGAGTCACTCCCGGCAACTGCGGGACGATTCCTCTTTGTTCCTCATGTTATTTATAGGTTGTCTCTCACGAATCGACGGACAATGTACTTACTATGCGCCCTGTTTCCTGTTTTATACTCCTCTATCCTGAGAACGCTATCCCGATGCAAGCTCATCTAGTCTACGTGAATGACCGCCGACATAGTGGTGCATATACAGTAATGAGTGAATGGATGGAAGATGCCGCCGTTGGGTGCGAAATATTCTGATGATGATGATAGTTGTGATCGAACATTCCATGGAAGATGTTGAATCCATAGAATCGAGGAGCGAGTTGAGCGCATGGATGCGGCTTCCAAACTGTGAACCGTCTGGTATTGCGTTGAACGGGAACTACGATACAAAGGGAGGGTTCCACTTACGGCTCGGAAGGATGCTCGGAACCGCCATAGCATTTAAGAGCGTGACTCGATGTCCGGTGGGGTCGATGAAAACTATCTCAACGTACCACAATCATGAGCTTTCTGTACGTAAATTATGAAAGACTCAACAAATGTTTGAGTGGAGTGAACGACGAGCAATGAAACTGTCGATTGAGGAAATACTTGTGTTTTCATTCAAATCATCAAGCTATACCGCGCGAACATTTGGTTTTCTCCAAACAAGACAAAGGGTTTGAAACTATTATCCTGGAGCATTTTATTGAATTTATTTCCAGACTCTAATTCATTCTACAAGACATATGGTTCAACTGAAGGGAAATTTGTTAGTCAAGTGCCCTGGGACCTCTCCAGATCGATCGCATCTTGACGGAGCTCCAGGACTCCGCGCGGCGGCGGATCAGGATAATCCAACGCTGTCGAGTCTTTTGGGATGCTCTGCATCGTGGACTTGGGATCGAGGTCGGAGATGCCGCGGGGCGAAAACACCTACGGTCGACGGTTCTGAAGGTCCAGGGTGAAAATAGTTCTGAAAAAGGAGACATCAAGGGGCCCAAGGTTTCTGCTAGGATAGCGTGGAAGAAAGACCCGATTCCCCAATCCTCGTCTACGCAGAGGAAGCATCCAGCCGAAGATAGAGTGCGAGTCCTCTGGAAAATTCGGGTGGCCTCATCGGGTTGTCCCCAGGAAATCGCGGACGAGATAATACCGCTGTTCGGGTCTTTCCAGCTTGCCTGGGACTGTGCGCTGCGTTCTCGAATGGTCACAGAGAGGCGCGCACCACCCCAGAGCTTACCCAAATGTTCAGGGGGAGAATATCGGAGGATTATTATCTCAAGTGAAGACTCACTCCTCTGCATCCCAAGTCTAACTCTCGGCGAGGCCTCTTCGTCGTCTCGAGCCGGTGATCTCCTCATTGTCGCGTCTTCAGAATTCCGCACGTGCCCATCGATGCGACTGTTGGCCTCCGCCGATGCACAACGTGTCGGTGACCTCCGTATTCGGCAACCACGCGGAGAATGAGGATTCAGACGGTGTGCCCAGGATCCCGCGGAGCTCTTGCCCCCATGACATTTCGGCTTCGAATGCGTACGAACTCATCGAGATGCATTGGAATTTCTGGGGGTTTCAAGAGTCTTCTTCGGAGATTGAAGCCTGTGGTGATCCAACGCCATCGCCCTACGAATTCCAAGTAACTGAGGATTGCCCTTTGGATATGGGTTCTCACCTTAAGATCAAGCGAATGGCTCTCGTCGATCCCCGCGATAACCTTTCGGGTGCCATCCGAGTGATTGAGCGGCTGATACCATCAATTGCGGTGGTCAAGATATTCGAAATCACGAACTCATACCAAACGTCGACAGGAGGTGGACCTATCGGGCGATCCGCAGAACAGAATGCTTCTCTCATCGCTCCTCGGTCGCTTCAGTAACACTTATCGGAACTCGGAATCCCCAGAGGCATATTCGGATCGTGTTCTGACACCCGAGCCAGAACGCGGCGCACAGCCGATCTTGTGTTCGTTCCACGATGCTTCTGATTCGCACTCGAGTCCCGTGTCTCCGAAAACAGGGAACGTCGGAGGCAAGGCACTCGCGACGCGCCGAGTGCCACCACTCGACCGAAAAATCCCGCAGCGTTCGTTCCCGCTGCCGTCAATTTGCCTCCTTTCCAGCCTTTCCGGCTCCCCTCCAAGCGTCACCATATACACCACGATATAGGGAGCCGTCTCGGACGAAAACGGCCCACGCACCGAGAGTATTCGGTGCAGCTTGCATCGAGCTCCGGGCTATTACGGTCTGCTCTTCGTTTGCACCACGGGAACTTTTCCCTTTGCCGGAATGTCATCTGCTCAGGACGAATCCTTGTTTCCGATCTCGAACTCGGGGATTCCACGGGATTTATTCGCGATATCGGCGACTCAGCCGCCCTCAGTCTAGGTGTGCGATGAACTTCGTCATGTCCCTGCGCCGAGATGAGGCGATCATGGTTTGGAGAGTTCCCGCGGGGGATCGTTGGAACGCTGACCGGACCAGTCCGCGCTACCGGTCCGATCTTCAGGGCGTCAGTCGCCTGTTTTGAACTTGCGGTGACGACAGACACTCGAGCATTGCAATAATGTCTTCAGAATAAGTACATCCGCCTTACGGAGGGGTGGATCGGAATCGCGACTGTCTCGCCGCCAGAACTCTCTCAACAAACTTCGGAGATGAAATCTCGGAACGCTTCCCTGAGAGAAAAACAAATTGTCGTTCCGATCCCTTGCCTCTGCGGAGCTTGTTGCAAGCTTCCCAGGCTGTCGCAGCTCCTGATCCTTATTCAAGATCAGGACAGCGTAAAAACGAATCAAGGACCCATGCATTCAGAAAGGAGCTCCAGCGTCCGCAATCAGGAAGGATCCGTCCGCAAACATTCCATGGGACGTCCTCCCCCCATCAGAAACGCTTTCATGACAAACAGCCGCTGTACGGTTCACTATCCCTCCAACAGGCTGCGTTGAAATTAGAAACTCTGTCCGAATAATCTTTGAACCATTCCATAAGTCATAAGGAATTTTTATTCCGTGAGTCTGAAGCCAACATTCCAGTTGGAGTCGGGTAATTATTTTCGGGACGCCGTGAACTGATCGTTCCTCCAAATATGTCAATGCTTCCCGAAATTCTCGCTCAGAAGAACGAACGTCAGCGAATAGTTTCGACATTAGTTCCATGGCTTCTATCAAGCTTCGAGCTAAACACATGAAATTCATCGCATCTGCGTAGCATCGCATCACATACACGGAACACTTCTGCGAATCGGATCGAATGACCGAGAGCCCGACAGTCACTCGGTAGAATGCGACAACTATATCCGAAGCGCGTGTCCACAATCCGTTGGATTGACTGATTCTTCCCAAGACCACACCGACCCACAAGTCCACGGAACAGGTTGGATGAGGATCCTGAAGGTTCTCCATCCCGCTCTTACTACATATCATCGACAATCGAGACTTCTAGGAAAGACTTCGGTAAACAGGTTCACCTAGAGGGATTCGAGCGAAAATAGATGGTCACGGCTTCCCGCGACCGTGTCGATTTGGATGAACGTGTATCGTTTCCAAGGATGGGAGACGCCACGAAGTCAGTGAATTTCCCGAATCGACCGCAAATAGTGGCCTTTGATCGTAACGGGTTTAGAGATAGATCGACGATCAATATTCTGCCGGATTTCTGCCGAAAGATCCGCGGTAGTCTCTGCGAGATATTCTCAAAAATTTTACGCCCGACTCTCGACGGAATGTATCCTTCTCGTCGACCTTCTATGTACATGATACGAAATTAAATCGGGGATATCCCTGATGATAGCCCCTTATCAGTATACGGGCTTGATTATTATCCGCTTGCGATCGTTCCGAAGGAAAACGCTCGATATCGGTCCTTATCGATCAGTTTTCGGCCGAGAGGTCGAATCTCAAATTTTAGTTCCCAAATCCATTTTTTGCGACTTCCGACCAGAAGCAGAAAATAGTCGGGAAGTCTCGTCGCCGAAAAACAACAAATCCTCGCTCTTGAACTCACGCCGGAGAGACCCGAAAGGCGAGCCGCAAATGTTCCGTCTATGGAGAAAATCTTTTCGCGCGGCATCCACCACAGCGAAGCACTCCACGTAAAAACTGTGGAGCACACGCATGGGGCAGTTCTGAGTGCTACGAATCGTCGCCGATCTTCACGAGATCTTTCCTCTGTTGGTAAATTTACCAATCGACCGGCGATATCGTTGTCCGGAGAAGCGGCACGACATTTGGCTAGGGCCCCATAGCAGCATGAGAAGTTCTTATACCGAAGAGACCACGACTGTGCCAACGAGCGAACGAGCGAGTGAGTGAGTGTGTGCGTCAATGTATCCATGGTGGCGCGCGTCTGTACTTAACGAAGAGAGCGCGCTGACTCAGTTCTCTTATTCTACAGATCGACCGAGCTACCCGAGGAGCGGAGTCAACCGGCATCGGCCGAGTCCGTCAGTCAGAGCTGGCAGGCGGGCGGGCTGGATGGCAGGAAGGTCGCTATTGTGAGAGCGAGTCCCTCCGGGAGGGCCGCGGAGCCGTCGACCACTAGGGGTCGACAGCCGAGGGGGTACGAAGAGACGAAGTCGGGCTGATTCATGCGATACATGCATGCGTCACTCTCGTGCCGCGCTGAATCGATGAAACCGCTCCGAAGCAACTTCGTACTACAACGGTTCCTCTGACCGGCCAGGCTCGGATGAGAAGCTTTGAGAAAACTTAATCGCCAGCACCATTCGGCTGATTCGGAAGAGCCCGACGCTCGCAATCTTATCTTCTGCAATCGTTTCCCTCGATAGAACGACTTGGTGAATTCCGCAGTCGCGGTGATTATCGCGCAATCGGGAGCGATTTCGAGAGACTTCTCCAACGCTCTGTGACAGAGACAATAAATACGAATTTACATCGAAACCGGATCTTCATCCGCAAGCTAAAGATATAGAAAGCTCCGCCATTCTGATGCCGTCATTGAGTATCCAAGTAATGATTGTATCTTCTCATTTACCGAAAGAGATTTTCCGCCACCAGATACCGTACTCATGTTTTTCGTTCCAATCGAAACCTTATCGCATGATGTACCTTCAACAATTGCGACGCTTATCAGAGAGAATTGGGACGGTGGGGTCCAAACAGCGCGAGCCGAAGTGGCGAGAGATCGAACGCTCAGCGCTTCTCATGCGTCTCTGGCCTGGAGCCGAATCGTCGAAGAAACTCCGATCCCCGTTTCCGATAAAATTCGCAGTTCCTGGCCTAGATCTAAAGGCGGAGAAGCAACCGCGGTTCGACTTTATCCGAGGCCCGTTTTGGGGGGTTCGGAATCTGCGAAGCGAGGTTGAGCGATTCTCAATCCACGAGAAGGACAACTCATTCCGGCGGTCGTCGTTCCCGCTCTGGACGGAACGAGAGCTCCATCCTTCCGACCGGAATCACTGTTCCGGAGAACCGGATCGGTATCGGCCGTGAAGGATGCGGAAGATTCTCCTTGCGTGAAGTTTTGCTTCCGCGTATCCGCGGCGCTCGATCAGATGTTGCCGACGATTCTCGAGATCGAGAGAGAGAGCGAGTGAACTTCAGCTGCATACATGCTGCAGAAAGAACGTGCCTCGACGTTCTCTTATGC